CCTGGATGTTGCTTACCCTTGACTTGTGTCTAACTATAAGTACAATTGGTGAAAACTCTGATGCTCAAGCCACATCATAGGTGCCAACACTCACTAGTTCTCTCTCTGCCCATGTCTTTGTCACTCACTCACTCACTCACTCAATCTCTTTCTCCTTCTATCTCTTTCTTTCTTTATTTATCCTTCTGTATGTATATGTATTTATTTCTTTATTATTCCTTTCATTCTTTCTTTCCTTTTCTTTTTGTATTTTATTTCTTTGTGTCCTTCAATCTCTCTCTCCCCCCCTCTCCCTCTACCTCTCTCTCTCAGACTTTCAGCTGGGGCACCCTTGGCTTCATCTCCAGCCTTTTGGGGCAGCTGGGCAAGTAGGTTTCTCACTTGCTGGGATTGCCAGTGCAACTCAGGGATTCCTTGGCTTCACAGGACTGCAAAGGGCACCACAGCCTCTGCAAGCAAGTTCACAAACAAATAATACATACCCATGCCATTCATTAACTAATCAATTCATATCCCCTTCTGTCATGTCATGTCATGAGCTGCCAGGACTGTTTGCCCAGATGCCCAAACAAAAGTCCACATAGCTCTTGGCCCAATGGGCTTCATCCATGCACAGGCAAGCAGCTTCTGCCTCACATTATGACAGACCACTTACAGGGTGTGGTGGTTCAACCAAACATGATGCTGCCAAAGCAGCTTCAAGGCATTCTCATTATATTATATTTATATAAATATAATCAGGCTCCCCTATCTACTATTATTATTGCTGTTGTTACCAGGTAGCCTGTGCTTGACTTTGAGAGTCACTGCCAATCAAACCAAGCCACCACTTTTGACCACCAATCTGTTGCACCTTCTGGTGAGGAGAAGATGTGGTCCAGCTTCATCACTGTCCTTGTCACTCAGTCAAAGTCATGGTGTCTGAGTCTTAAGCATGTGGTCCAGCTTTACTTTAAGGCCTATCATCACATCATTTCAATCATTGAATATTTATGAAACCTCTCTGGTGTCTAATCCTGGGCCTTTGAGGTCTGCTTAACTGTTAATGGCAATGTTCCCCTTTCATTCAAGCCTTCCACCCAGTCTACCACATCCCCAGCCCACAGCCCACTTCAAACCTCAAACCAAGCTGCTCTTCAGTCCATGATGTTGCACCCAAGCACAGCTGGTAGGAACCCTTGCGGTACACCATTGTGATTGGAGCTCCAGCAGGTGCCAACACCAGCTGCCTATCCTCTTGGTTGCACACAGTGAGCTCACCTTTCTGCCTCATTTTGGTGCACCATAAATTTTACCACTGGTCATGTCTTAATACTGGACATTCTGAATTCTTTCAGTAACCTGACACTGAGTCAGCACAAATTGACAAAGCCCATGACAAAACATCTTTGTTTGTTTACCAAGTCTGTCATTATTAATGTTGTCATATCACTCTGAACATTCAATGTGAATCACCAACTTTATGACTGTAAGTAAACTGTTATTACACAGGCAAGCAAGGCACCCAAGGATTGCTTTGTATGCTGCCAGCTTCTGGGGTACCTCCTCCTGCTCTGGCTGATCATCAGTCCTCCACAACCCACACTTTACTAACTAACTTTGATTGCAGTGACACACTGGCTAATTTTGGTCACCAAATTGAAGTGACCCTCACTGATGCTCTGATTAGCCTGTTCAAGTAACATAATGTCAAGTCTTCAAGTGTCATGGTCCAAATTTGCCTCAATAGTCACATTGTCACAATTGTGGTAACTTAATTACTTGGCACTGCCACTGTCCTCCTGGATTTGCTGTTCTTCTCAAAGTATTTCTTCCATCCAAGCCTGCTGGCCACCTCTGAGATATTGCTCAGGTTTTCCTGAAGGAAGACGCACATTCTCATGACATGACAATAACACAAAATGCAACAACAACAACAACAACAACAACAACACCAACAACAACAACAGCAACAAATAATTATACAATAAAACTTTAGTGAGTGCCAAAAAGACATGAATGCTAACCTCAAAACCCAGTGGCATCCAAGCCCTTCAGCCTCTCATTTTCACTTTGCTTCATAACTTTTTGGTGGGCTTCCACCAATGTGCTCTTCCTCAGCCAGCTGGCTGTCTCATGAGGATCCTAAAGCATGGCATATGTCCAACAAAAACAAGTAACTTTAGTAGTCAAGTAAGTAATGCCAATTACTTCTACATTTTAAATAACTAAGTGAAACAAATAAAGAATGATTAATAATTCCAGAAACTTTGCTCTTCCATGCTCTTCCTTCTGATTATCAGATTATGACAACTATTAAATTAAAGACTGAATTAATTGACATGTCATGAACACTTTCAATGAATCACCCTTGTATTACAGTCTGACAGTTCAGTAATCTAAGGCTTCAGATTCTTGGAAAATTGCACAATTGCACCCCTTCCCCCCAAGGGCAACCAAACCCAATCAACTAGTTCCAAGCCAAAGTTCACATCACCACGAGTCCTGCAAAGCATGTCCTTCAGTGAGACCTTTGGTCCAAGGCCTGTGAGGATGAATGCCAGTTGATCAAGCTCTCGATCAGGAAGTTGGGACACAGTGCCTGGTGAGTCATTTGCAGCTGTGGTCTAGTCCCAACACCCCTCTCAGGTGAAATAAGCTAAGCCATAGACTATTGCTGCCTTACAGTAATTACACCCATTCTTAATTTGAGTGCTCATGTCTTATCAGCCTCTGTTGATGGTTGTGTCATTGGTATAAAAGTGCATGTTGCATTTCACCACATTCAACTCATATGCCAAGAAGCTGATGGAAAAGCCATCTCCCATTTTGGTCAACCATTTGACCTTGTACTTCCTGGGGATGCAATTCTTCTTGTTAGTCACCTTCTCCCCATCAGCTCCATAGTCACACCCAATGGAAGTCCAATGCCTCAGAAGTACAATTGATTCATACACTTGGGCCAAAAGCTCTGCTTCTGCTAATGACTGGTGGCCTTTCAAGGTCAAAATGGCAACCCTACTATGCAGCACTGCCCTCAATTGACAATGATTGGCAAATCCCACTGCAAGTCAGGCCCTAATTTTATTGACAAAGTGCGATGGCAGCTTCATCTTCTCCAGCTGGTCATCTGAAAGCATGCTGGTGGATGTTGAACTTGAACCTTGGCTGCACTAGCAGTTCAGTGAGCAGTCACACTTTGCCAGGACTGCCCAATGCTACCTGGTGACCTATTCTGCCAACTAACCCAGCACCTCAGGTGAAACCTCTAAACTTCAATTTAATCCCACCATCCCCAAACTTCCCAACCCAGCCTGAGCCATGCTTCTTCTTCTTCTTGCCTTTCTTCTTCTTTCCTTCTTTGCCTTTTTCCTGCTGCCTTTGCTTTTTCTCTTCTTCTTGCTTGTCCTCCCAGCCCTAAGTCCAGCAAAAGCTTTTGACTCAGTGAGAGTCAGTCATGATTATGCACCATGTGAAGTTCAAAAGGATGAAGGCCAAGCCCTAATCTGGTTTAAGGCAGTAATCATTGAACCCCAGCTGAGCCCCATCAGTGCAACAGTGTCAACATAATGCAATAGAGGATCGAGGAGGAGTCTTCATCATCCTCCTCCTCCTCTTCATCATTGTCATACTCCCAATCATTGGGAGGCTGAGGGATTCCTTGAGGAGGAGCAGCTTGTGCTTGAAGCCATGCAGGGATGCCTCCATGGTAACCCTGGCCCTGCATCACAAAATTTGGATGCTGATATCCTGGGGGCAAAGTGCACCTCCCAGGAACAGCCTTCCTCTTATGGGATGGCATGATTGGTCAGTCAGACCAAATCTCAGCTTGGGCCACAAGATCCTGCCCAATCTCAAGAAATCCTATCATATTCCTTTGATTTCCTAAGTTTTTCTCCAGGTGGAAATTCCTAGGAAATCTTAGGTTTTTATACCCCTGATTTTCATTTCAGCTGGCCTGAAGAGTCATCCTTTGAACCACCACATTGGCATGTTCTAAGATGTTAGGGGCTACAAGAAACGACCCATGAACTCTGTTTGTTGGCAACGACAAAGTTGAACAGGAGGCACAAAAGCACGACAATGACTGACATTTTAAAGAAGCAGAAAGAAGAAAAAGGGGCAGGATGACAACGACCAAGGCCATGCTGAACTTCTACGTCCCATAGACCCCTAGGCCCTAGGGCTCCAACCTCCTCAAAGGCACACCCCCTAGCACCCACCTCCTGAGGATGTGATTGGAGTTGGAGGTTTAGGGGTCTATGGGAGACCACACAAACACCGTCGACGCCTGAGTCCAGAGTCCTCCGGCGGAGGTCTGCTATAGACCCCTTCCACTACACTTTTGCGCATATGAAGATGATGAGGCAAACTTGTACCACCAGTACAGTGTAGTTTGATCATATACTCCTGCAAGTAGCAGTCTTTTTGGGGGTGTAGATTCAACTTCGAACTCTGTGGTATACTGTATTACTTACTAGTTTTGGGCTGGCTTTCGAGGTGACAGTTGGACAAGCCATTGCCTCGTTGAATGAATATACAAGTGGCAAAGGACAAACCCAGCCGCCAAAGTCAATCTATATGTAAAACTGTCCGTTGCATATATTGGCAATTTCACGTTATCTTGCATCGAAGTGTTGAAGAGTCCCAAAGAACTAAAATGCATCTGTAAAGATTGTTTACAAGTCGCATGAATCGCCCAAGAAACATGCTCTTGGCCCACCCCCCTGGGGCCCTAGGGCCCTAGGGACGGGTGTCGCGAGACGGCGAGAAGCATTCGTCGTGTCACCCGGGTGGATATCTCCGGTCGAGCAGCGCCGGTGTTTCAAGCAGGGGTCTCCCAAGGAAAAGAGGCCGGAGGCTTCCGGGTTCTGAGCCCCAAAAAGAGTGGCATCTTCCTCCAGCTGCCGGGGCTTTCCTCCAGGCGAAGTTGGACCCGAAGTTGGAGGTGCCGATGGAGGGTCATTGTCAGGCGATCGCAGCCGCTCGCGTGGCCGCCCACACGACTCCACACGGTCGACCTGCTGGTGAAACTGCAGTAGGGCACTGCGGTCGAAATGCTCCATGCTCACGCGCTGCTGCCTCGACGCGCAGCGCGGAGGGCGAGAACACGGGGCGAGAACACGGGGAGAAGACCTGCAGACGTTGGCATCCAAAAGGCTTTGCTGAACGTGGCTTTGGCGCGGTACCTGGGTTCCAAAGGGGGATCCCAGTTACCACTATGTGGAAGGAACATTAAAAAACCAGGGTTTCTATGCCTGTGGTTTCAGTCTTTAGAACCACGGGTTGCCAGCTCTAATAGATTATCGTGGAATATAGTGGTAACTGGATCCTCTGATGATGATTGGGGGGACCCTATGTAGATCAAGGGCATTCCTACCCTCCTGTTCAGGAGCTGCTGGTACATCTTGAATCATTCTCCTGGCTCTTCAAGGTGGCCTTTTGATATCCTAGTTTGAGGTCACTTGGGCCTTGGGCCTGTAAAATTGCACTTAGGGACTCCATTTGGAGGTCACTCTGAAGAAACTGGTTGAACTTATCCTTCTTCCTGCCGATGTGTGGATGCAGGACAGCCATGGATTCGCGGTGGATCAGCGCATCCATGTGCACGAGGACAGCCACGCTTCATCGATCAGAAGTGTATTTTCCGTAGACCGTTCACACCTGGTTGATCCGATGATCCTGGTTGGAAATGTCTTAGAAACATATATAAATCATCCCCAAAACTCACATGGTCTCCACTTACTTCTCAACACCCACCACCCGGATTGCCCCGTGCCTCATCTTGGCACAGCCTGGCAGACAAGTGGGGGGGGAATCATCTGTGACACTCGTCAAAAGCACATCTCAGCCTTTGGCCCGAGGACATCAGATGTTCACTCACCTAATAGCTATGGCCTCTAACCTAGCAATGAAAGTCTAGAACAAACCGATCGTCTCTCGGCGGCAGCACTGCCTGGTCTATGAGAACCTCCGCAAGCGAGGCTTTGTGGCGATTCCCTGGAGGGAGTCTGACGTCCGGGCCCTGCTGAACAGGCTGCAGGCGGATGAGATCTCACCCTACAAACTCCAACAGATTTGGCAGATTTTCGGCTCCTGGAATCCGACTTTCGGTTCCCTAGCGTTTTTTTTCCCGGAATCCGGTTTTCGCTTCCCACCGGTGTTTTGGGTTCCCGGCGGTGTTTTCGGCTCCCGCCGGCAAAGTGTGTGAGGTAGCCACTGGCACAGCAAAGCAAAAGCGAACAACTTGGTACACTTCTCGATTTGCCCTCGGCCCAAAGCGGTTTTCCACCTATGGCTGCGGGTGCGAATGCGTCGGGCGGCCGTTTCCGGCCGTGCACTGGTCATGTGCCAGTTATTGGCCAAAGGGATCCCTACACGGCAGCGGAAGGCGGCATGACCTGTGGAGGTGAACTTGAATCGCTTCCTAAAGCTAACTTCTTCACATGCCCCGAAGTTTGCCTCATCAGGTCAAGCCAAGTTGGATCCTTTGGATGACCGCTCTCAGGCTGCTCAGGTCGGGTCCGGAGCTTCTTGGCCGCCGTGAAGGATTCGTCGTAGAGCAGATTCCAGCGCTGCTTCTTCTTCAAGAACTGCATCACACCATCAGCAGCTGAAATCTTCGTCATTCCATCAGCCAATTGCTGATGTGAGTTCACCCACCTCAAGGTGGTGTTTTGCTCCATCAGGTGCTGGGACAAGCCTAGCACCTCCAAAGCTGCGTGCTTCTCTTTCGCCGACAAGTTCGGGGCGTCCTGCTGCTGCAACATGTCATAGAGCGCTTTTGCGTCCACCACCAGCACACCAGGTGTCATCTTCGAAGTCAGCCATGGATTTGCCATGTCGAGAACTTGACCCCGAAGTTCTTGCCAGAGGGCTCTGACCAGAAAGAGCTCTGCTTCACACTCTGACAGGGCCTGTGCTTCAGCTGCTAGGCTGCTCCTGCAGACACGCCGGAGCTTGTGAGTGCTCCAACTCACCAGACTGACCTGGCCTTGGATGCCGCTGAGCATGCTCTTGTGGACAAAGCCGATGATGTAGCCTCCGGTGGATGACAGATCCACTCGGTTTGCTAGAGCTGCATCACTCCAGCCCACGGCAACAATGTCCTCATCAGCCTGGGCCTTGAGGTCATACACCGAGACCTTCTCATCCTTCTGGTTATAGAGCTCGCGGACAAACTTGTTGATGTCCTTGAGAGTGCTTCGATCTCCACGAGGCAGCAAGCTCTGAAGGTGGCTCAACTTTGAGCTGTGCTGAGGGCCGGTCTGGTAGCATCGCCATTGAGCTGCACCAAGCACTGCACGGCACTGATGAAGTTCTCCCTTCGTCAAGTCTTTTCCTTCTCCTTCTTCCACCACTTCACTTAGGCCTTCACAGAACTCGGCCTGGCTGAGATGCCATGCTTTGTGCTCATCCTGGGTCATCCAAACTCCGCAGTGGTTCATTGGCGGTGCTTCCCATGGGCTCCACTTGAGCGACTTGTGGCAGTCCTCCAGGAAGGTGCGCCAGACTCTGCTGTCCTCATCGCCCATCAAAAGGAAATCATCCACATGGGCGCCCACTGCACCATGCACCTGAACTCGGCCGGCATCGTCCTGAGTCTTGAGGATCCAGATGCTCGGATCAACGTGTAGTCGATGAAGTTGAAGCCGGGTCAGGATGGAGTCCACATGATGGTAGAACTCTCTGGGAGCAATGGTGAGCCCGTATGCTGCCTTGAGGAACTGCACGGCCTGGTTGGGCTTAAGCTGCATGGCCTCCTGGAGCTCCACAACTGGCATGCCAAAAATCTGGCGATGAAGCTGGGTGTCACCAGTCTGCAGAAAAGCTGCTTTGGCATCGGACTTCAGGGTGCTCCAGTTGCGATGAATGGCCATTTGTAAGAGACATTGTCGCCCACGTCGAGTCAAAGTTGGGCTTCTCACCACCTCCAAGCCAAGGTCAGGGTCAGTGAACCCAATGACTACCAGGCGCGCCTTGGCCTTGACCACGTTCGGGTCGTTGGTGCCCTTCAGAACCAAAACCCACCTAATTCGCATGAGGCGATCCTGAGGGATTGGACCAAATGCAGCACGGCAAACTTTGGAGCTGATCCATTCTTGAATCTCGATGCCCTTCGCCTCCTTCATGGCCCGCCGCTGTTCTTCATTAAGTTTCTGCCACGACACTTCAACGCCCTTTGCAAGCTTCTTCGCCACGAACTTGCCGGGGTCCTTGACAATGGATCTCCACTCCGCCTCCGTTGATGGCGTAGGCAGTGTCACGGCAAAGGCGTAGCCCTCCAGCTGGCTCAAATAGGCCTCGTCCAACTCCGTCTCTTCCACGTAGAGGTTCTCATCCTCAGTCTTGCCCCGTTGCTGAAGAAATTCTTGACGTTGGACATGTTGAGGTCGTTCATCCATTTCATGGCGTCGTCGGGCTTGAAGAAATAGCGGATGCCGGAACAGAGGTGCAGGGTCCGGCTCTTCGAAGGGCATGTGATCAGGGTCTTGGATCACAGCTGTCGGATCAAGATCTGCTCGGGCTTGATGTCGAGGATCGAGGTCTTGCCTAGCATCTTCCATCTCCTCCTCTTCAATGTCCTCCTCAGGCGGCAGGAAGTTGGTTCTCGCCCTTGATGAACTGGCCTGCCCCGTTGGTGATGTCATATCTTCATCACTTGGATCCAGAGCTCGTTTTGCTCGTTGAAGTGCCCGTGCATGACGTTGATTCTCCTCCATGGCTTCACGGAATCTCTTTCCATCAGCTTGGAGTAGTCTCTGGGTCATGATCTCGTCATCATACTCTCCTTTGTTCACCAGCCCGGTGAGGTCCTGAAAGGTCCAGGGGAGAGTCAGCTGCGTTGCGCCTTGTGCCACAAGTCGTTCTCGTTCACTGGCATGTCGAAGTCGGTTGGTGTGGACCTTCTTGAGCCTTCCAGATGCAATGATCCAGGCGATGTTGTGCGGCTGTCTCACATGGCCGTCATAGGTCACCTTTGTCTCCAAGGCCAGAACTCTGGCTGGTCCATACCACCTTGCGACTTTTCGACGTGGCACATCCAGCTCTTGATGAGCTCGTTCAGCTCGATCTGCTGGCGGTTGAAATCTCTTGTAGTAGACCAAGGCCCCAGGGTCAAAGCGGACAGGCTTTGCCATCTTGGTGTTGAAGGCGGCGTTGGTCTTCTCTCGAAGGATGTACTCCCTGTGGTGAGTTTCCGCTTCCAGCCTGCTTTCGAGCTGCTTCTTCATCTTCTCGGAGGTGCTCATGCCGGACCAGTATGGAAGATCAGGTCCATCATGAAGTCGAAGCGAATCCGAGAAGTTTCGTCCAAAGACCCACTGTGCCGGGCTGTAGCCACCAATGTTGGACATGGTGTTGTGTGCACCAATCATAGCCCATGCAGCAACTTCGGGTGACATATTCGAGGATCTCAAGTGGGCCATCATCTTCTTCTTCAAGGTGCCAATCAAGCGCTCCACTTGGCCGATCTGACCATGGCTTTCAGCTGGCACGGCCATCACTTCAACTCCATGGCCTTCTGACCACTCTTCAAAAGGTCGTCCTCGATGTGCACCCTCCTTGTCCAACTTGATGATCTTTGGATAGCCAAAGTACTGGATCCATCCTCTGTAGAGGGCATCAATGCATTCTTGTGAAGTTGCATTGCGAGACTGGCCAGGAGTGATCTCATGCTTGAACAGGAAGTTCGCTGCCCCGTAGCCTGAAGCTTCGTCGAGGACAATCTGGAAGTGATAGCTCTGGTTGCCGACGTTGATCTCCATGTTGTCAAGTTGAATCACTTCCCAAAGCTCAGTGGCCTGTTCGATGGTCACAGCACGACGAGCGGGTGGAATGGCTGCCTCCTGGCAGTCCGGGCAGTGAACAATGGAAGCTAGTGTCCTGATCAACTTGCCTGCTCCTCGATCTCGCAGCATCTTCAAGTAGGACTGTCGGCTGGGATGTCCAAGCTTTTGGTGAAGTTTCAAAACCTCTCCCGCCGCTTTCTGGATCTCCTGGTCAGTGAACTGTTTGAGGCAGTCCATGTCGCAGTCTGGATTGACTGCTGCCGCTGCGAAGCTTG